TGGGTGAAGTGTAGATCCCTTCTTTAATCACGGGGTTTGAAATGATTAATTTACTCGGGTTAAAGGGGCCACAGGTAACATTGGGATCGCAGTTGTCGGCATTTAGGCGCTCGTGGTCGTCTGAAACGATAAATACTTGAGTTGACATGGTTCTGATTTTTCGGCTTTGACTAAAATTTTTCTCATTTTATTCGGGTGGGATTTCTGTCACGAGTTGTTTACAACCGGGGTCAAAAGTTGAGTGGAAATCCCCAGCGCTTTTCACGGGTTGTTTAGCCAGCGAGCTAGCGAGCGGCGCCGGGGTCAAAAGGTGAGTGGAAATCCCCGAGATTTTTGGGTCGATGTACTACCCAAGGGTTTTGATCAAAAACTGGGGTTCACGACAATTCCGGCATTTTCTCATTTTTTCACATTTAAAGGGTTTCGAGGGCTTTTTGGGTCGTATAGGTACCCAAGGGTTTTGAGCAAAAACCGGGCAAAAAGGGGCGATTGGACCAGAACTGTCCATTTACATACTACTAAACTAAGCATATTTGTTTGTAGGATACACCCACATTCAGATAGCGCAAGCACGCATACTTAGCAATATACTGATTAACTGAATATCCTTTTTACGGATGATATTTTTTCCCTGACTCAAGATTTGAACACATGGAGGGATTTTTTTTATGCGTGTCAGCAGTTCCACAAGACATTACCTCAAGCACTTTCTCAGGGGGTAGGGCTTGTAAGATATTTTTTCTAATTTCTGACTGTTGTGGACAGACGGTTAATTAAAGGGGAAATATGTTACATTGTTACTGATGTACTCACGTAGTAGGACGACATCTGTTTTTTAATTATAATTATATTTTTAGTTCATAATCATTATTATTGTTATTTTGATATCTCAGCGGCGCGGTGAACCCTCTGGAACTGTGTTTGACTTGATATGGAACATTCCGTCTCTCACGTCACGAAATTATTCCCACTGCACTCATGATACAAACACTGTATTACAGTCCGTCTATGATATGGTCAGTGCTCCTTGTGCAGCCCTTAAATTTCCTCCCCATCAACCTTGACTTAATTTGCATGAAACTGAAGTTCTTGAGTCATTTTTGAATGGTAAAACAATGAAAACGCATTAGTCTCAAAGAAGCCAAGCGGAAACAAAAGAGGGCGTACTAGTGGGTAAATAGCACCTTTCTAATTCTGTTGTGTCTGCCTCATAATACTGTGGCGAATGCAACTGACACCTCTTGTGGTGGACCCAGTAACCGGCCGGATCAGGGATGGAATTGACCTGGCCCAACCCCACAAATATATTTATTAACTTTGAGCAAGGATGAGCGGCTACCCTGACACAAGGGGGGATATCAGTTAACGAACGGCGGACTAAGCCTAGGGGCAGTTCGTTGGGTGGAAGTTTATCACCAATTAGGAAAGACTGGATTTATCTGGCAATACAGTAATGAAACACAGGGAAACCTAAATAAACCTCACAGTGACACAGGATTTCCAAGGACAATAATCAAGTATTTAATTTATTGCAAT